CGGGGTCACCATGAGTTGGCATCCACTCCATGGCAACTACTCCCACCAAATTCTGGTAGCATTTTTCTTGGGTGGAGAGAATGAAAAGTCACTTGTAGGTTAAAATGACCAAGAGTTAACTCTGGAATTTCCATCCTGTGAGAAAGTGGCCTTTAAAAAACTGGGACTTTTCCATTGTCAATGCCGCAAAACTGTTCTATCTTGTGAAGTTCCATATTAGTTCTTTTATTATTTAGCATTGGTTTTGTGGAAAAGGACTGTTTGAGTGTCATGTCATGTAAACATAATGGGAAAGGGATCTGTATCATTTGCTGGCAGCCTTGGTGGCACAAACGTTTTGCGCTTGACTACTGTCCTAGAAGATTGCATTAGATTTCACGACTACAATCTTCAGCTAAGCAACTCGTTCTCAAATCTATCCCCAACTTCCTTTTGGGCTGAAGACTTCCTTTTCTACCTGTCTGCTGAAATTTCCCCCACAAGCCCCCTCTCAGATTTCTCTCCCAGAATACACTCTTTCTCTTGTGGTATATATCCAAATGATAGCACAGTTGTTTCAGATAGCTACTGGGTCGTAGAGCCTTTTAATTTCATCTTCCACCACCGACATCTACTTCTTTGCCTGCATGTAATATTTCCAGGAATGCACTAAACATTATCTCCATGGCAACCACCCTACCATAGGCCTCGTCATCTCTTGTCTGAAACTTCCTGAGAGCCTTCCACCCCATCCCCCTGAACGGCAGTCTCTTTTCTCGAATTCCCTCTTCACAGTATTTTGTGGTTGTTTTTCTGAAGTAGACACTGGACTCTCCTTCACCTTCTCCAACTCTCCAACTGCAGTCTGTTTTCTCTGGATTCAGGAGTCCTTGGGTGGTGCAAGCACTTACCTCCACACCACCAAAGAATGGGCATATTTTGGGGAGAAGCCTTTGAGATGAGACTTGTGTGCAAAAATCGACAGTGGCACTGGGGAAGCAAGGCTTGGCAATCGACTTCCATAAAGATGATAGTCAACATGAAATTCAGACCTACATCATTTTTATGGTATGTAAATTCTCAGGTGTGGTCAAAAGTGAGAAATATAGGTTCTACTGAATAGCAGTAAGAAATGTGGCCATTTTTGTCCCCAGAGTTTTTGGAACAATTCTTGTGGGTTATACTAGAACCATAACCTAGAGACAGTTCTTGGCATATGTGGCTTCAACGGTTACTATGTAATTACTTGACCAGTTTCACTGGGATGATGCCCTACCCCAAGTCTCTATTTCTATCAAAAAAGTCCATGGAGCAGGTCTGCTCGGCAGCACATGGAGTCACCATGAGTCAGAATTGACTTGATGGCACCAGGTTTGGTTTGGTTTTGGTGTCACTTGTTGCAGCCCCTTGAAAGGGTATGTCCTCTGAGAAGCAGCACCCAATCCTTGTGCAAAGTCTTTCCCTCCCACTTATTCCTTAAGTGACTATTAGGCAGAGAGGGGCTTTCTCTAGTCCCAGCCGTTGGTGTAAGAGTTCTGTATCTTTGTTCCCTGAAGTACTCTTAAGTAAAGCATGAGAAAGTGGGTTAGGCTACTGCTTCAGTAAACACTGGCTGGCCATTTGCCATTGCGCAATGTTCTGTGTGGGACGTTCTGAAGTGTGGGACGTTCTGAAGTGTGGGAACGAACCAGACAAGCTTCTCGGCCTTGGTGGGAAGGTAGGCCTCCTGACACGATCAGCTGCTGCAAGAGGCAGTTACGTGCACGTCTGGACAGCAACAGGCTGCATGCTGTGGAGCGCAGACCAATGGAGTCGGGACTCCCAATAGGGAAAGTGCCACACAGGAATGGCATTCAGTGTGAGTCTGGAAGTATTCAGAGTCATCAGAAAACAGAGAGACAGTCATCTAGGGGTGAGAAAAGGGCATCAACAGGTCAGGGTTGGACGAAGTACCTGGCAGGGTGTCTTTCTAGGAAAGGTGGGGTTAAAGGGAGGCTGTGTGATGACAATGTCAGATTGGCCAGGAGATCAACTGAAAGAAAAATGGGAGCTGATCTGGAAGAGCAATGCCTTGAATGCCAAGCAGGCAGTTTCCCTTGGACCTAAAGAGAAAACCAGTTGCCTCAGGTTGACTTGGACTCATGGCGACCCTCTGCGTGTCAGACTAGACCTGTGCTCTGTAGGGTTTTCAATGGCTGATTTTTTGGAAATCGTTCACCAGGCCTTTCTTCTGAGATGCCTCTGGGTGGAGGTGAACTTCCAGCCTTTCAGTTAGCAGCCGAGTGAATAACCATTTGTGCCATCCAAGGACTCCTGAATCCAGAGAAAATGGGCTACAGTTGGAGAGTTTAAGAAGGTGAAGGAGAGTCCAGTATCTACTTAGAAAAATAACCACAAAATAGTGTGAAGTGGGAATTCGAGAAGAGACTCATTCAGGGAGATAGGTTAGAAGGTTCTTGGGAAGTTTCAGAGAAGAGATGATGAGGCCTAAGGTAGGGTGCTTGCCATGGAGACAGTGTTTAGTGCATTCCTGAAAATATTGCATGAAGGCAAAGAACTAGATGTTGGTAGCTGCAAGAAGTCAAAAGGGTTTAAGACCCATAAACCAAACCCAACCCGCTGCTATCAAGTCGATTGCAACTCACAGCAACTCTATGGGACAGAGAAGAACTGCCCCCAAAAGGTCTGCAAGGCTGTCAGTCTTTATGGAAGCAGACTGCCACATCTTTCTCCTTTGGAGTGGCTTGGGGGTTAAAACCACCAACATTTTGGTTAGCAGCTAAGCACTTTAACCATTGTGCCAACAAGGTTCCTTTAAACTCACTCACTACCATCGAGTTGATTCCGACTCACGGTGACCCCTCCTTGGGTTTCCAAGGCAGTATCTCTACAGAAGTAGATTGCCGAACGTTCCTTCCGAGGAGTGGCTGGTGGGTTTGAACCACCAACCTTCTGGCTAGCAGTCAAATGCCTTAGGCACTATGTCACCAGAGCTCCTAAGACCCCTAATTGTCATTTAGATATATAGCAAAATACAAAGGGCATACTCTGAGGAGAGGAATCAGACATGGGACTTATGAAAAAGTTCAGCAGGCACGTGGAAAAGGGGGCCTTCAGCCCAGACAGGGACTGGGGACAGATGGTGTGAGCTAGTAGTCATGGAGCTAAAAAGTATAGTCATAAAAGCAAGTGCCCTCCCCTGTGGACTGAGGGGGTCCCTGGACGGCACAAACGGTTAATTGCTCGATTGCTAACCAGAGGTTTGGTGGTCTGGGTCCACCCAGAGGTGCCTGAGAAAAAAGGCCTGGCAATATGCTTCTGAAAGGTCAAGCCTCAGCTACCCTCTGGAGCAGTTGTTTTCTGCACACCTGTGGTCCTCATGAGTTGGGATTGACTCCAGGGAAACTGGTGGGTCCTGGTAGAGACTGAGAAAGCCAGCTAGAAACATGTTCCTTTGGTGGCAGGACAGAAGCCAGCCACAGACTGACTTGAAGATTTCTGGGGTCCACTGGGAAAGTGGAGGAGAATGAAATAAGGCCCGAGGGGCTTGCAGACCTATCAGCGCCACCACTTTGCTCTGTCTGTGTAGTGTCTCCAAACTCGTAATGTGGGAAGGGCCGAGGATTCAGAGAGAAGTCTGAGATCACATATAGCTCCAGGCAACCGACTTAAGCTTCCTGGGACTCAGTGACCCACTTCAGAACGCAGACAGTGAGCCCTTCCCCGTGCCATGGTCAGAGTGACCGTCAGGTGAGACCCGTTCACGGCAATCCAGAGGGCAGCGTGCAGATGCAACATGTCAGCAAATCACCGTGGAGGATGAGGGAGGGGTGGCGGACACAGTCTCTAGAAAATATTTTTTTTTAAAATCACTGACCTTTGGATGAGATATGCATATGCTATTTTTAAAATAATCCAACTCATTTACCTAACTAAATGTATTATGACTTAGTTAAAACTCCCAAAAGTAAGTCTTACAGTGAATTCAGGTCCAAATGCAGAAAGAGTGGAAATGTTACCTATGTGCATCAAATCATACTTAGAGTTGTGTACTGGTACAGTTTCTAGTTTGATGTCTGCTCAAACTTAAAAAATGGGAAGAGAAACAGAGCATTTTTTTATCCTTTCATAATTGGTATTTTATTGGTTGTTTTAAGGGTCACTACAGAGCCATTATGAACAATTTGTACAAAATTCTTAATGCACGTACCAGAATCTAAAATTCCATGTAGTTATAATTCTTTTCTAAATTCTAGTGACTTTGTAGCTTTAAATTTGGAGGCAAAGTTTCCTTAAGAGGTTATCAAGTACCATTCTATTCAACTGTTGACAAGCTGTTACATCCTAAGTCTCACTAATTCACAATTTATTATCACACACACTACACACTCAAATTTCAGTCTTTCACAGCACATAACAAAGGTATTACAAGAACTGGACGACCATAAGCGGAGATAGTAGAGAATACACACACTTCTGACAGGGAGAGCCAAAATGAGGGAGTGCTTTTAAAAATTCTACCAAAAATAACATGAAAATAGAAGCAATTAAAATGTTGGAGTCATATAAATGCATGACTGAGACTCCAAATTGCCATCAAGTCAGCCTGGTATTATGGGATATAAAAACTGCCCTCCCCCCTAGAATGTTATGCTGACACCCAAGACAGTCAAAGCCTCCCACAACTCAACATCCCATTATTTTCTGGTGGTACCAAAAAATAAACAACCAGCAAATGATTTCATTTCTTGTTTAAAAAACAAACAAACAAAAAAGCATTTACACTTAAAAAATGGGATGAAGTGGGATTTCCTCCTTCTTAAAAGTGTTTCTAGAGCTACTAAAAAACTTGCATTTACAAAATAGTCGATAAAAATATTCCTCTGGATTGTACAAGAAGGGAGACACAGGGACTACCGATAAGACATGGTTGTTGTTGTTATGTGCCGTCAAGTCGGACCTGACTCTTAGCGACGCCTCCTTGGGTTTCCAAGGCAGTATCACTACGGAAGTAGAAAACATTAACCAGACTTGGCTTCTTTATCTCCTGCTTCATCAGAGGCTGGACTCTCGTTTTTAGTTTCTCCATTTTCTGCAGGTAAATCTTCTTTAGTTTCTTGGTTAGCCACTTCAGCCTGTTTTCCCTTCGCTCCTCTTTTTCCTTTTGTTTGCACTTTCTTGTCTGTTGATTTATCCTTTCCTGCTGCCTTTTCTGGCTTCGTTTCCTCTTTTGCAGAAACAGGTTTAGCTGACAACCACGCCGATCTCCTCTTGGGCTCTTCCTTTACCTTCCCTTCGGCAGAGCTGACCTTCCTTTTGGGCATCTTGGTAGCGAGGAGTGCACGTGCTGGGTGCCTGTAGGCCGCGGCGCGCCAAGAGCCTTCATGAAGCTGGTTTCTCTGGCCACTGCCCTTCAGCCCGCCACCCGAGCTGCTAGGACCCGTGGTGGGGGCGAAACAGAGCATTTTGAACAAACGTTTCCCAATTAGTTTTTAAGGCTTTAGACAAATGCTCATTCTCAACTGAAAATAATACTAACGGTGACTGGTGTTCATATGTCGATGGTGTTGAACCCGTGGGGTCGTAGAGTCTACCTCAGTCTGTGAATTTTGCACACTCTGTTGCGATGATAAGTATCTTTTAAAATCCCATTGTCGTAGTGGCTGCTATTCTGAACCGTTGTTCTTACATCTCTCAGTCAGCAGACAACTTGTGTGCGCTGTAGGGAAACGAAATCCGAATGATGTACCCTCTGCAATGAGACACCAGTGAGGGCCTTCTGAAACAGCGCACTCACTCGTGCCCACAGCAAGCATTCTAAGTTCACCATTTTCCCATTCTGAACCAGGAGTCTGTATGGCAACATCCAAGCAATCAACTGGGGAATCGAAAAGACCCAGGCTTTGGGAATCGCTCTTGTAAGGTTTGCCCACATGACAAGTTTAGCTCTGCCATTATTTCCTCAAAAGGAGAACTCCCTGGAACAGAAAGGAATGTGAACCAGGGAACCTCGTTAAAATGATCTTAACATGTGTCGGTAGAAAGGGAGCGTGCTATATGGGGAAGATGATTCAGAACTCCTGTGGAAATCTTGTGGGAATTTCTCCTTATGCTCCAGTCATCTAACTGGGTAATGTTATGTGTTTAGGAGCCACATAAAAGGTTGCTGTGGGGATTGTCGCTGTTGGATGCCATGGAGTCGATTCCGACACCCAGTGGCCCCATGGGACAGAGTGGGACTGCCCCATAGGGTTTCCTTGGCTGTGATATTTCCAGAAGCACATCACCAGGTCTGTCTCCTGAGGAGCCGCCGGGTGGGTTCTTCAGAATCAGGACTCATTTCAAATCCCTCAGTGCTTAGGGGACACTGAGCTCCGGTTACAGGCGATGGAAAAATTTGGGAACAGACGATGGTGATGCTTGAACACCACGAGGAACATAATTAAAGTCACTGGCCTGTACATGTGAAGATTGTTGAAGCGGCCAAGATTTAGTTGTTGTTGTTGTTTTTGTTGTGTTGGTTGTTCTTCAGCCAATTACGACTCATAGTGACCCTACGGGACAGAGTAGAACTGTCCTGTAGCATTTCCTGGGATGTATTCTTTTCTCTCTTTTTTTTTAATTTTGATTTGGGTGAAGATTTACAGAGCAAATTCACCTTCCATACAGCAGCTCACATATACTTTGTCTCATGTCATTGACCACAGTTTACCACAATGCAACAGCTCCCCTCCCACTTCCTCCCC